GAACCCGCTGGCTCAGGCAATCCACTCACCTCAGCCTCCCAAAGGCACGGGATTACAGGCTGAGCCACTGAGCCCGGCTGTCTACAAACATTTTTTTAAAAAATTAGCTGAGTGTAGTGAGCATGCCTGTAGTCCCAGCTACTATGGAGGCTGAGACAGAAGGATCGCCTGAGCCAAGGAGGTGGAGGCTGTAGTGAACTCAAGCTGATAGAGACTCCAACTCAAAAAAAAATTAAAAAATTTAAAAAGATAAAAAAATCCTGATTTTCATTTCAGGCTTGCACTTTGTTAAAGGTATGGAGTGCATCCTCTTACATATGTCACGTGGAAGAAAAGAGTAGTAAGTTAAGAAAGCTTGGTTTGAGCCAGTCATGGTAGCCAACACCTGTAATCCCTACACCTTGGGAGGCCAAGGCGGGAGGATCGCTTGAGGCCAGGAGTTCGAGACCAACCTGGGTAACAGAGAGAGACCCCCCCTCCCACCAAAATAAAAACTAAAAATTGGCCAGGTGAGTTGGTGCACCTGTAGTCCCAGCTACTCGGGAACTCCTAGATTCACGGCTGCAGTGAGCAATTATTGTGCCACTGCACTCCAGCCTGGGCGACAGAGCGAGACCCTGCCTCTAAAAAAAAAGAAAAAGAAAAAAACAGGGAAAACCTGGCTTGCAATGTCCGTTGCTCCAGGGCCCAGCGAGTCGTGTCACCTGTGAACTGTGAACAGCGATGAAAATATCAGCCTTGCGCAGTGTTCTGTGGGATTAGATGTGATCATAGGTAAAGTGCCTGGCAAATGGCATTAGTAAAAAAAAATGTCAGTTTCCCTCCGGGTCTCGTCTTCCTCATCTGCAGGATCAGCGAGGCAAAGCGAAGAGCCCTCAGGTAGACCGCGGCGGGCCGGCGGGGTCCGCGCCTCCGGCGGGCTCGGCCGCACGCAGCCGCATGGGGGCGCTCTAGGCTAATCCTCAGCGCTCTATGATTTTTTTTTTTTTTTTTCCTTCGCCCCGGAAGTGGTTCCCCGACGGGTTGATAAGGTCGGGCCATGGTGGGGCAGAGGTTGCGAAGATGGCGTGGCGAGGCTGGGCGCAGAAAGGCTGGGGCTGTGGTCTGGCATGGGCTCCGCTCGGGGGCGGCCGCGGCTGCGAGGAGCTCAGTGCGGCCCTAATCCCGCCGCAGCTGCTCGGACGCAGGTAATGGTTGCCGCTCCGGGCTTCTCGCCTCCCCGACCCTGGACTCCGGCCGCCCATCCTCGGGGGCGGGGGCCGTCTGGCCTCTTGTGCTGGCTCCAGCTCGCTCCCTGCACCTTCCCTGCCCCTTCCTCGCTCTCCCCGCCGTCCGGTCCCCGCTTCTCGTCGCGCCTCCCAGCCCCGGTCCGGCCCTCCGCGAGCCCGCGCTTTCCCGTTTCCCGTCGGAAGGGGAACTAATCTCGGGGAAGGGGTTCGCGGCGTGCCACACCTCAGAGTCCTAGGACACTGCTGAACCCGGTTTTTGTTTTGTTTTTGTTTTGTTTTGAGTCGGAGTCTCACTCTTGTCACCCAGGCCGGAGTGCAGATACACGCTCACGGCCCCCGCAGCCTCGACCCGCTGGGCTCCGGCCATCCTTCCGCCTCAGCCTTCCAAGTAGCTGGAACTACAGGCGTGCGCTACCACGCCCGGCTTGTGATTTTTTTAATTTATTTTAGAGACGAGGTCTCACCAAGTTGCCCAGGCTGGTCTCCAGGCAGGCCTTTCGCCCTGGCCCCCCAGAGTGCTGGGATTACAGACGAGCCACCACCACACCCCTCCAGAACCGTTTTTTTTTTTTTTTTTTTTTTGAGCTGGAGTCTCATTCTTGTCCACCAGGCAGTAGTGCAGTGGCACGCTCGATCTGCGGGGTTTAGGCATTCCTTCTGCCTCAGCCTTCCAAGTAGCTGTAACTACAGACGCGTGCTGCCACGCCCGTCTGTGTGTGTGTGTGTGTGTGTGTGTGACTTATCGTGGTGACGAGGTCTCACCAAGTTGCCCAGGCTGATGGCTGATCTCGAACCCCCGAGCGAAGGCAGTCCTCTCGCCTCGGCCTCCCAAATTGCTGTGATTACAGGCTGAGCCACCGCACCTGACCTGAACCCATTTTTTAAGTGAAGCAGTAGTACGACTGGTAGGATGACCGCTGAGGTTCTTATCCTTTCAATCCAATTATAAAGCCTGTGTCCACCAGTTACCTTCTTTAGCGTCTAATGAGCTAAGGGAGGATGAAGAAGGATACCACATTGCTTCTTGGAAAGTCGTAGGAGAGGCTTTTCTGTAGGATTGAGACCGTGGAATATTTTCGGATGATCTGGCACGAAAACTACGCAGCTTTCCCGAGTAGGAGCTCTATCTATGAGTATTTGCTGGCTTTGCGTTAGAGTAATTTAACTCTAAACTGAGAGAGGAGAGAAATCCCTGAAATGTTCAAGAATCTGATGTGTATTTGGCTTTGAAAGCTTTCCTCATCTTTCATTCAAAGTTTGAATGCTCCCAATTTCTGACTTGGTTAGATGGGTGCCTTGAACCCACTTGACTGTTGACAGCAAGGAGCATTAAGTGTTTACCAACATGTGGGCTAGCCAGTGGTGAATAATTGAGGCTCTGATATGGGGATCCATTGCCTAATCTTAAGAATCACCTGGAATGTTTGTAGACTATATTTCCAACACCACACCCTCGTGCTCTCAAATCAGTACTGGGAGAGGAGTGGGAAGAGTGAAAGAACCTGTGTTTCTTACAAGCTTTCCAGGTGAGTTTTATCAGGGATTTGTGAAACACTTGCATACTTTGTATCTCAAGACACCATAACAGATCTGTCAGGTACTAATCATAAACTCCTGGGGAGGTGGAGACCCCATTTGAGAGTGTATGGTTTAGGGGGAAAAAAGATTAATACTGTATGTCTATTAGGAAGCAACAGGTGTGTTAAATATTTAAGATTTGTGTACACATCACTATTGATTTAGTAAAAGAAAACCTAATGAGGGGCCTCCAGTAAAAATTGGGTGTGAAGATCATCTGAAACAAGAGTTGAACAAGAAACATGTGATGCGTTAGCATTTTTTTTTTAAAGCTTGCCAATTATATGGAAAGTTTGAAAATGACATTTTCATAGTTGCCTAGAAAAATATGTATTACGTAGTAGTGTGGGCAAGCCTGAAATAGAGCATTCGCTTCCTTGGCTTTGGAAATAAGCACGTATTAGGGAGCATCAGTTACCTTGCATATAGCCTTTATTAGGTCTATGGCTCTGAAATTAATGTGCAGAAGAATGACCCTATCCATGTAATTCTGATGTAAAATAGGCTTGAAGTAGGGGCAGGAATTTGTGTTTTACAATCACTCTATGTGGTAATATCAGGGTCTGAAAACTACTGCTGGCCTAAGGCAGCCACGCCAAACAAGATTTTCATTTTTAAAGGGTTATAAAACAAAAACAGTAATATGTGACAAAGATTTCTGTAGCCCACAAAGACTTATAGCTTTTATCTGGCCTTTTACAGAAAAAAGGGAAAACATCTCATTTAGGCTCTTCAGAAACTTATTATCAAGAAGTGGCACCACTTCCGTAAAACATGATTTTAGGCTTGAAAGTAGAAACCTGCATAATTTCTAATAATATGAAACTATCCTAGGGAGGAAAATAGTTGATTGTAATACTTAACACACAGTATAAATTTTTTAGTATGAGACGATAATCTGACCCAGGTCTGGGTGCTTGCCACTCAAAGCTAAAATCAGGAGATAAGTGTCCGTGGAAGGAAAAACAGGGTTATTCAAGAAATTAGCTTCCGGGCAACCCCCTCAGGTCCCCTCCTGCTCTGGGAGCTTTTCTGTCCTCTCAATAAATCCTGCTTTCTCACAAAAAAAAAGAAAAAGAAAAAAAAAAACCCAGCTTCCCAAGGAGATGACAGGATTTTTAAAGGGAAAATTGGTGTAGAAACGTGTAGGAAAGGGGTGGGGTGTGGGATTTACATGTCCTTGTTCTGATGGCTGTCTCAAGTAATTGTTGGTTGTGGGGTTTGACTGGTGCCAACTTGGCTGCGGCTGGTGGTGGATCACTTGTCCATGAATCCCTTCGGCTGGAATTTTTTAAGGAAGTGTAGAGTTAGGTAAGCATCACAGTGTAAAGGAGTGACTAGAGGGAGAGGGGGAGAAAAAATATGTTAAAAGGGCAATTTTAAAGCTAAAGAAGAGTGTATAGAATACATTTTAAGGCTGAAATTCTCAGTTACAAGATGATAGTGATACGGAGACCCATATTGTCTGACTATATTGCCACAGCCCCTAGAGAAGGACATGGCAAGGGTTAGAATGCTTCATGTACTCACATTTTTGAGAGTTAACAAAAGGTGCACTTTCCCTTGTTTCCTGTGCACTCCTAGTAAGTAACTTCAGACTCCTTAACTTCCCTGCAGACTGTACCCAATTAACTGAGAAATGTAAAATCCCACTTACTCTCCTTTCTTAGTAGTCACAGGTTTGAATAATATAGTATCAAGGTAATTATAAGTCCTGTGACTTATGTAACTTGCGTGTAACATGTAGTAATGTTTGATGTCTTAGGCTTTGTTAACTCCCTTTACTCTATGGCAAGCTTGATTAACGCTTCTACCTGATGTTACTGATAGGAAGCTATGAGATACCTCTGGTAACTGGTGCCAGGAAATGTGGACCATAAATGTCACTATTAGCAAAATGTAGCTGTGACTTAAGTTCTCTACAATGCTCTGCTAGTCCCATAATCAATGTATGGGTACTAACTACCCTGAACTCATAAAAATGGATTGTAAAACTTGAAGGGTGAGCAGAACCATTTTAGAAAGACCAGGAGCCAGGCTCCACTCCCTGGATTCAAATTCAGAAATGAATTTCTATCTACCAGTTTTCTTGCCTCTTGATTTATTGTTGTCGAGGGTAGCAGCCGAGCATAACTCGGACCATAGCAGCAGTTTTAAGATATCTTTAGGTAAGATATTTGACAAATTAGTAAATCAGGCATATTAAATTATCTTTAACTCACCATCTATTCACTTAAGATGTTTTTCAAGAAAATAATTTTGGCATATGAGTGTTTATGTAGAATTCCCTCCCCCATATCTATTTTAAGTGACATTAATCAGCTGTGAATGCTTGGACACATTTTGTCTCCATTGAACATTAGGCCATTTTTACTCAATTTGTTCATACAAATACTTTGTAACATACAGTGCTGAGCTGTACGTAATTTAGGTTGCATTATTTTTTGTTTTTTGTTGTTGCGTTGTTTTTTATCCTTATGAGACTATATTATCTTGCTCATCGCGAAGCCAACAAATATATGAATATGACTTTTTCATATGGAATCATGTGAAAAAACTGAGCCACAATTGTTTAGTGATTACTCGAGTACTCAAGAGATCTTCGCACTTTGAGCACTTTAGATTGTTTTCATAAATCACTAGTTATTGGCAGAAGAACCAAAACAGCAGCACTCAAAGACAGGCCTGCCTTCATGAATTGGTGTACGCCTCTTTCCCCAGCCTGTCCCCATACATTTTATTGTATTGCTTCTCTTTCTGTTTTTCTAACTTATTCAGGTAATTTGTTTTTCCATCTTATATATCCATTTGGGTGCGTAAAGCTAAATAACCTGAAACTGTGAATAAGATCTTAAACATTTGCAATTAGAGACATTTATCATGTGTTTCCTGGTTTGTTCTGCATTTTAAGAAATTTAAAATGAGCTCCCTATGGACAGAGAATGTACTTTGCCACAATATGTAATGAATGAATGTATTATTACATCTAGAAGCATCCTTAAGCTAGCAGAAAACCCAACTCTAACCAGTCTAAGCAATTAGGGAAATTTACTGCTGTATGCAGTTGAAAACTATGGAGGTAGAACTGGCTTCTAGTGAGACAAGATCCAGTGTATCACATTGTCACCAGACCCCATTTTCTCCATGTCTTGTCTCTGCTTCCTAAAGGTTGACTTTATTCATTAAGCATACTGTCTCCTTGTGGTTATTGTTTGGCTGCCGGCAGCTCTTGGGGCAGTGTGTTCTTAGGTTCAAATCTAGCAAAAAAGCTTCTCTTTCATGTCGCAAGCAAAATCTTGAAATTGAATTTCATTGGACCAGATTGGTCTAACTTGCTTGGGACAAGTGCCTATCCTTGAATCCTTTGAAGTTGTCAGGAA